CCGGCAAGTAACGACATCGGCTAGGAAGGACAACACTCGACTAAACTGTGCCACACTCTGGCCTAGGTCATACCATTCCAGGAACAAAATTACTCATGCGAGGATCAAGGATCTAGAACGCCTAGATATTAACATCTCGGCCCAGATGACGCACTTCTCGGCCTAGGCGACGCGCACCTCGGCCTAGATGGTGACATCTCGGCCAATATGCCAGGGTGAAGATGGACGTCATCTAGTGTAAAAGCTGCTAATGTCACCTTCTAGGTGTCGGTGCTGGGAAAGATCTCGAATAGCTTTTCCATTTCCAAGACCCAGGCTTCGGCTTTCATCGGCTCTATTCCTCCTTGGAATCTCGGCTGTTTCATTTTCTTAAACTCTCTAATCATAGCTATCGTGCCGTCCCCATATAAAGCTGGCTGTGGGAGCACTTGTGGTACTGGAGGGGGTGGAGGCGGAGGCGGAATTGCATTTCGGCCGTTCGTTTGCTCGGCCTGAGTCGATGTTGCACTAGCATACTGCTGTCTTGTCTGCCTTAACTCGCGGGCCAAACCTTCAAATAACCTCTCCAGTCTATCCAATCTGTCCTCGGACTAATCTCGGCCAACTGGAGGTCTACATCTCCTCATGATGCTATGAGTATGCAAAATGTGACTTTTAAACAAGACGAACAAGTAATCACGTAGGCAGGTAACAATTAAGCATGCCGAGATGATGCACACCTTGACCACATAGCAAGCAATATGATGCAATCCTAACATCTTTGTAAGGGGGAAATCCTATGCTCCTTAGGACTCAAAGTGTGTGAATAACGTTTACCAAGGAACTTGTGCTCTGATATCATTCTGTCACGACCCCAAATCGCCCCTAGTAGTTTGGTGCCGTGATGGCCAGTAATCCGGGATTATCGAAGGCCAACTTGAAAAATTCACACACAACAGAGTATATATATATGGGGCTCACAAGTGCAGAAGTAATAATTTAACATACAAGTGGTCCATAAGAGCAGTGCATAAGTCAAATGGAATGGCATACATCTTTACAGCCTTACAACTTAAATACAATTAAAACGAAGTACCAAGAATACATGTTACAGAAGGGCTTTACAAGCCGACATAAACAAAATACACGTAATACAACCGAAAGCATAATCTCCAGAATTGCCGACATCCTCACTGCCAACATAACAAGCATACAAGCACACGTCCTGATCAAAAGGCTTCTCGAGCTGACGTATGTAACATACAAGTTTTACAAATCGAGAGGCATAATTTTCAAGACTGCCGACGTAAATACAGGTTAAGCCGACATAATCAAAATCCAAAATAAGCTCCAGAACCACACCTAGGCGTCACCGCCTTCTTGTTCATCGCCTACATATATATAGAGGGGGTGAGCTTGGATACTCAGTGAATGGTATAAATAATAAAGGGGTTTTGCATGAATAATAGCCGAAGTCCTTTAAAACATTACGAGTCAAAACTCTAGATAACAAGAGATGGACCTCGTCCATCTAACAAATCTTCAAAGCTTCAAGGAATACTGCCTAGCATCACATATTACAATGGTAACATTTCGGCAAACATATCCACGAGGTAAACCGTCACTAGCAAAACAAGACTAGGCAAGAGAGATATCTCAAACAAGGGTGCTACGAAAGTTTAGAGTCCTCTTGCACAAAGGACCTATGTTACAAGGGCCCGTAGCCTTTAACACGAGAGTGTTGCGAAAGTTTAGAGTCCTCCAGCATAAGGGACTTTCAAGGCAAGATGTGTTGCGAAAGTTTAGAGTCCTCCAGCACGAGGGACTTTCAAGGCAAGATGTGCTGCGAAAGTTTAGAGTTCTCCAGCACGAGGGACTTTTAAGGCAAGATATGCTGCGAAAGTTTAGAGTCCTCCAGTACGAGGGACTTTCAAGACAAGATGTGCTGCGAAAGTTTAGAGTCCTCCAGCACGGGGGACCTATGTTACAAAGGCCCGTAGCCCTTTAACACTAGAGTACAAATCAAGGCTGCTTCGAAAGTTTAGAGTCCTTCAGCACAAGGGACTTTCAAAACAAGATGTGCTGCGAAAGTTTAGAGTTCTCCAGCACAAGGGACTTTCCGATGAGGTCATCAAGACAAGATCATACTTGATATACAAACAGGGGCAATTATTCATGCTTAAAAATCACTTTCAAAACAAAGCAAAGCAAAGTCTTTATCAAAACATATAATATAGCTTTATTAAAAATACCACTCACCTAGTTCTTCAAATGTCGGGGGCAAAGCAAGTCCAAGTCCTACAAACGCATGGCAAAGTCCATTGAATGCACTACTCAAAACAAATTTAGCATACATAAAAATGACCTCGGCATTCTTCAAAACTAAGTCAAATCAAATCAAAACACAGTTTCTTATTTTGGAAGATACGCTGGGTAACTACCAGGTCTAGGCCGAGGTCCCACACCTCCTTGCCGAGGTGTGGCCTCGATGGCCACATTCAAAGGCGAAGTTGGGGAAAAACTGGGTTTCCCTCTTGACTGAAGAACAAGAGCATGAAGAACTTGAAGAACATGAACATGAGGGGGATGAATGCAAAGATCAAACTTGCTATTACAACAACTGAGACTTCATGCTATGAATTCAAAAAAAAACTTGGACCTGGGTGCCCATACTCAAGGATCTTATCAGAACAAACACAAAAACATAAGCTTTAAAGCAAACTTTTGGATCAAATAAGGCTTTTCTTCCAAAAACACATGAAAACCGTTTTCTCTTTCTAAAATCAATTTTAAATCAATGCATGACGTGCTGAACAGGTTCGATCGTGCAATGCAGCTAGATGATCAATAAGAACAACCAGAGTAGGTTGAGATTCTGACCTTAAAACTCGAATCTAACGGTTCAAGCTCCAATGATCAAGCTTGGAAGTCGCCTTCACTAGCTCAAACTCCTCCTCCTTCTAACTAGAGCTTCTCTCTCTAAAAAAACAAGATTGATACAAAATGATATGCCTCACACGACAAACACTGGCTTTAATCCCTCTGTCGGGATACGTGGCATCGGCTGATTCGCTCAACTCAAAAAGGTGACTGACTTGACAAGACAAGACCAAGACAAAGCGTACTCAGCAAGCTAGGCGGCACGAACACACCGGCAAGTAACGACATCGGCTAACAACAAGACTCCGGCAATCAAGGGGCAAGGACATCGGCTAGGAAGGACAACACTTGACTAAACTGTGCCACACTCTGGCCTAGGTCATACCATTCCAGGAACAAAATTACTCATGCGAGGATCAAGGATCTAGAACGCCTAGATATTAACATCTCGGCCCAGATGACGCATATCTCGGCCCAGGCGACGCGCACCTCGGCCTAGATGGTAACACCTCGGCCAATATGCTAGGGTGAAGATGGAGGTCAACCAAAGGGGTTCCAAGATAGTTCTAAGTGACAAAGGTCTCGAAGGTGCTTAGGCTTAAGATGACCTCGGCAATGCACCAGATGTGAACAAAGCATGCAAGCAATCATTCAAGCAAAACAAGACAAGATTTACAAATGCACATATTAAGACAAGATCATCCATAAACGTATGCAAGTATGACTAAGTCAAAATGAGGGTTGTTACAATTTTCGTTGTCTTTTGGATTCTTTCAAATTTATCATCAAACAATTGTTTGGGTTTTTCTCTAATTGATGTGAATATGTGAGTTGTTTTGTAATGTTCTAATATAGTTCAAATGATTTGGGTTTGGGTTTAAGTTTTGGCTGCTAAACTATATACTTTTTGATATATATTTCAGGCGGTGAAGAATAAGATTTAGGATTCGAAAAATTGTCCTTCAGTGCCGGAGTGAAGAAGATCTATGCCTCTGTGTTTTTTTTCTCCTCTTATTGTTGTTGAACAGATAGTGAATGGAGTTTTTTTTTTTTTGTTTTTTGAATAGAGAACAGTTTTGTTCAAATTTGAACAGATAGTGGCTTGTGTATTTCAATAACTAGGATTTGAACAGATAAAAAATCAAAAATAGAATTCAAGAAAAAAAATTGAATAGATAATTAATTTGGACAGATATTTGAATAGATAAAGAAAAAATTGAACAGATAAGAGAAAGAGATGAGAGATTTGAACATATGGGGAAAGAATAAAATTTTGAACAAATAGAACAAATTTGTTTTAAATTGATCTATTATAGTTGATTTTCAACATGGTAGCAAAATGAATAGATAGACAAAAAATTGGACAGATAGAATTTTATTTGGACAAATATTTAAACAAATAAGAGAAACTTGAATTGAAATGTTAAAAAATTAGATAGATAGGGTAAAAAAACTTGAACAGATAGGGTAAAAAATGTGTACAAATAGGGAACAAATAGTCAATGAAAAGTCAAACTGATTAAAAAAAAGTCAAGGGATAAAATTGGAATGTCCTACAGGACTTTTCACCAAATTATTTCACAAAGTGTAGACCTCCCACTAACAAAAAATATTCACTAGAACTAATGCCTTAGACCCTCTCTAAATTGGATTTATCACAATTTTTTCCTTTTTTTATTTTTTAAATTCGCATCAGTAGTAAATTTTTTCATAAATTTGCTTTATTTTCTGAAAGTACTATTAAATTGTAATTTACTCTGCATGAAACTTGCCGAGAATGGTAGTTGACGTGAGGACTGGTGGATGATAAATCGTGTCTGTCCCATCTAAAAGTATAAATCATGTGACACTCTCTTCTAAACATCCATATTTGCATGGTGAAAACAACTAACTATAAATGACATTGACACTCCAACTTTCTCAACTTTAATACTGATGGAATATTATTATTTTCAGTCACTTTTTTTTTTTTTTCTTCTTCTGATTCCATGCCTTCTTGGCATCTATTTATACTCCTCTAATTCCAAAATTTCTTTCAAAACTACATAGCACATGTAGATCCTCTTTCTCCATTTGCTTTTGAAGTCTGCCGCTGACTGTCCTCAGCACTAACTATCCTTTCTACACATTGCAAGGTCAGCTTCAAAGTTTTTTTCTTTTTTTTACTGTTGTCACTGCACAACCCTTGGTTTCTCATCCCATTTTATTAAGCACACGGTTTCTCTCCAGTTAATGTCCAATTGTAAGAGTAGCCGTAACATTTCAAGCACAGTTTACAAAAAGATTGCTGCATTTGATTACTTCAATGAGTTTTTTTTTTGTTCTTCCTTTTTTTTTTCACTTGAAATATTCTACGAAGTTGTCCACTATCATCATCTATGGAAAGACTTTAGGCTTTTATCACTACAGCAAAAAAAAGCACTTTTAGCGACGTTTTTTTAGTCACCAAAAGTGTAATTTTCGTCATTAAAAGTATCAGTGACGCCAAGGAGGGCTGCTGAAGCCATGTCACTAAATGATTCGGAGACTAAATAAATTATGGTCGCCTTATAAATAAATCGGCGACCAAATCATTTAGTCGCCAACAACCAAAAATTCGTCGCCATAAATCAACATTTAGTTGCTAAAAGTACCCTTAAGCGATGCACTACAAGAAAAGTGGTCTATAACGGCGCTTCAAACAAGACGTTTTAAAAAACGTTGTGGTGTACTGATAGTCAACACGTTTTTCATGGCGTCATGCTCGCTGTATTTAACTTAATAGACACTTAAATCCCATTCCAATTACAAAAGTAACACAAAATCTCTCTCATACACTGCTCTTCTTCACCGAACTCGATCTCTCTCTCTCACAAATCGCAGATCCATAATCGAACAAAAAAGTCGATCTAATCTGATCGAAATCCGAACTCGATCTGATCTGTCTTGCATTTTGCTAGATCTATTCTTGTTCTAGCTTTTCTTTATCAAACTCAAACTCGATCTCTCTCGCAAATTGCAGATCCCAAATCGAACAAGAAAGTCTATCTAATCTGATCTCTCTCGCATTTTGTTAGATCTGCTGATTAACAAGGTTTCAAGCAAGTTGTTTGTGTTTTGTTTTTCATTATCGAGTGTTAATCGGTGTTTGATTTCGTTGTAGGTGGCGATGAAATGTAGAGATCAGTTACATGAACTTGTAAAGGAAGAGATAGAGAAGAAGGATTCGAGTACGGAGGAGTGGAAGATAGCGATGGAGAGAAGCTTCAATCGCATGGACAATGAGGTGATTGCATGGAATGATAGTGTTCTGCGCACCGAGAAATATCGATCTGTTGTTGAAGGATCTGAGTGAGAAGAAGCAGAGCTTCGGGCGGAACGTGGTGTCACTGACGGTGGAGCTCAAGGAGGTCCAAAGCCGTCTCGCTTCACAGGAGCAGTCATTGGCTCTTCAAACCCTAACAAGACATGCATGTGAATTTGTATATTTGTTTATATGTTTCTATTTGTTTGCATCTGTGTGTACTTTGGAAATAAAATCATTTCATTTCACCTTTTTGTTCTTCTCTGTAAAGTGATGTTCTTTGTGGGATCTTCTCTAATTTTGTGTATTTTTGGGTTTTTTATTTTTTATTTTTTCCCCAGGCAGAGGCCAAAGCTAAGAAGATGGAGGAGGAGATGTATAGATTACCGGAGAGCTTAGAGGAGAGAAATGGGCAGCTTCAAGCATCAGCATCTACTGCTGGGATGGTATGATTTTGCTCTGTTTTCCTTTTATGCACTTGATTGCATAGTTTTCTCTTGATTTCTATTAAAGTATATATATATTTTTTGAATTTGGTTATTAATTCCATGATTGGGCTTTGGTTGATTTTGCATGAGTTTATGTGGTTGATTTGTGTGTTTCCAGCATCTTGTTGTTTGAGGCTTCAACTTGCCAGACGCATCTGATCCTCATCTTTTTGGCTTTTCTTGTTTGTTTTTTGGCTGAGTGAGAATATTATAAGAATCATGAGATTCATGATCAGATATTATTGTTTCTCTTTGTGGTTTGATTAGTTCAATAACTGTGACTTTATTTATTGGGTAAAGAATTATGAGTGACTTTTATTACTATAAGCTGCTGCAGATCAATTATGAAATTGAATGTAAACACTGGGTATTTCAATTTCTATCTGCAGGCTGAGCTCTTGGTTGGTGAACCTTTTTATTATGGAAATGATAGCATGCTTCCATGGCAAACCTGCGGTTTTGGTAAATAATACTACTTTAATTTGTATTTGTACGATATGTCTTAATTTGAGCATCAAATAGTGTGTCCGAACTAGGAAATATTGCATTTAGTTTTATCTCAGATTGAAATGCTTAGTTTTGTAAGAATATCACTCGCCCTAATTATTCTGGATGTGTTAATGCCTGAAAATGAATTAAAGTCCTACTATAAGGTGTTGGAAGTTTACTCAACTCTTATTCTTAATTCAAAATTTTTGTAGGCAAACTTATTGAGATGTTATTCTGACCATTTCTTCATCAGTGATGCTTAAGATCTTCTTTACCAAAGGTTTTGAATATGTTCCATGCCTACTTAAATTAGGTAGATTTGGATTTGAAGTATGAGGGGTGGAATTTTTTACGAGGATACTTTTGATGTTAATGAAGAAGCATTGGCAGGTGCAAAAAACTGATGAATGCATGGGCCATAACTTATTGTTTATAAGAAGATGTAAAACATCATACATATTTTTTCATTTTTATAGTAGGGTGCTAAGTACTGAATTTTATGGCACTTATTATTTGCCATGGTTGCATGTATAGACACATTTTTTAACTTGAAAGTTTTCTGAAGTATAATTAGAGCATATCTATGTAAAATTAAGTTGAATATTACTCGGAGATTGTCCTTTCAATTCGACATAGTCGTACCGTAAATGATCTTAAAGGCATTCTCTGAGCATCAGATAGAGGGGTAGATGCACTTGCACATGTGTAAGGACTTATATAACCATGTTCTGTAGTAAATGCCACCTTAGGGGCATGTGCTGATTTACCCGCATCCCAAGAGAGCCCTTGTTTTCCCTTTTTTGTTTGGCAGTGTGGGGAGAATAAGGTAATCAATTTGTGTAATGGAAAGTACTTTTTATTTGAGAATATAATGATATTACATTTTGATATTAAATGCAATTTGAGTTCAAATCATTTCAGGGGCTCAGTAAGATATCTACAGTCATGGAGTTTGATTTCTCAAAACCCATTAGTCCTTGTTTTGGGAAAAAGCCCAGGTATTGAATTATCCCTGCTTTTGAATGTGCTTGTGTAAAACTGGTCCTGCACCAGGATCTGCAATATCTGAACTAGGTATCAAATGTATACTTACAAAGAAATTTGTCTAGGTTGAATTTACGGAGCCTGGGATATGCCATGGTTTTGTGCTCTGGATTGATTGGGTGATGGACATTGATAACTCCATTGTGCTTTCAACAGGACCCGGTATGCTTGAGTTTTGTGCTAGAATGAAATACTAGGAAATTGGTATCTATTTTTGCTGTTTGTCGCACATAATCATACCATCTTTATGCTTTAAAACTATTGAACTCACCTAGTTAACAAAAAGCAGGAAATTGGAACTTCCTCATTTACAACACACTTTTGAAATAATGCATAAAACTTTCTCGAGCTTTTTCTTATCTTACATGTTTGTTCAGATAAAAGATACTGGAAGCAAGGAATTAAGCTGTTGGCCAAGCCAGTCACAGTTGGAATCCATGGATCAAGAAGAGGTAACATTTCAGCGGAAATTGAGGCGTCCTTCAACCCATCAAACGGTGAAATTGATATCAAATATGCTTTCACATAATTCTAGAGTTGCATCAGCCGAGCCTCTCTGTGTGTTCTCTCAATTGAACCTGATTCCCACTGTATCGTTAGGTACATTAGTTACAAATTTTATGGAATCGTGTAATGACGGATTTCAGGATTCAATTTTTCCTACACTGTTCAATCTTTTCTAATGGGTTTTGGAGCACATGTTATGGACTCCTGTTTCACCACCTCACGAGTCCATTGTGGTACGCATAGAATTGTATTCCTTACAATTATTTGGTTCCTACAGTAGTTTCTCATATTTTACTTCTATTTCCCCACCTCTTTTTTTTTTTTTTTTTTTCCAGCTTGTTAAGATTCATTCTCCAATGCGTTCTGATCCAAACCGTGTTGTAAAGTGGGTACCTGACTGTAGCATCAGAAAAGTTATTAAGGTAACTGATCTTCATTTTGTTTTCTTTTCCTTTCAAATTAGAGCCTTGCATAGTTTATCATTTGCTTGAACAATAACCACTCAAAGAGGTAGACAAAAATATTTGGTTTGATGTTTCTGATGATATCACTGACATCCCCTATAGCCCTATGGCTTTTGAAATATATTCTAAAATTTGAACTGTCTCGAGGTTTGGGTGTCGGGCATCATTTTCATCTATTATTTGAGAATGGGTCAATTTATATTAAAACAGTGAAACTTTTGGTTTGAATCTTATTTTAAGTGGATATCTTATCATGTAGAGCCAAAAAAAACCTTGATTAGGGAAGTCTATTACTAATGATTGAGAGGGTTTAGTGTTTTTGTGGTCTTTTGGCTTCTCCAACATGTCATCACATAATTTTTTTAGAATCTGTCATTTTACTTGAACCTCAAGCTTTGCCCTCAGCCAAGCAAAGCTATGGAAACTTTAATTTGGTAAGGCAATCTAATGCTTGTAATTAGTATAATCAAAGTTTTCTTGAAATTTGTTATACGATGATTATGTTTTTTGAGTATATATTACCATGTAATGGAAAGAAGTATGGGTAATAAAGAAAGTTCATGGTAATTTTTTAGTGTTTGATTATCTATACGTTCATTGATGAAATTGACCTTAAAGATCTTACTATACATGTTCTTATTATGAAGGGGATTTATGTATTAGTTTTTATCTCTTTATGATTTTGATGGTATTTATTGCTTTGTTCTAGATTTTCTTCAAAAAGATTATAATTTGCAACTGTTATTTATGTGTAGGTCAAAAGGATAATTTTGCGGAGGGAAAGATCTGCTTCTAGATGTAAGGAATTTAACAAGGCCAAAATTGAAATCTTGTTGAAAATTTTTTATTTTTTTATTTTTTGTAAGAGCATTTAAATATTTGAGTGTATTGATTGGTGAATTTTAGATTTTTTTTGTTTTTTTTTAAAGATTGGTTGAATCTTATAACTTAAATATGCTTTTGTGAACATGTACAGTTTAATTGTTCTTTGATATTGAATTTGATGGTTTTATCCACATTTATTTTTATTTTTTGTTAGGATGTGTTTTGTGAATGGAATGAGCATATTTTATATTAATTAAATTATGAAATAAACTATCATCATCTATGGAAAGACTTTAGGCTTTTATCACTACAGGAAAAAAAAAGTACTTTTAGCGACGTTTTTTTAGTCACCAAAAGTGTAATTTTCGTCATTAAAAGTATCAGTGACGCCAAGGAGGGCTGCCGAAGCCATGTCACTAAATGATTCGGAGACTAAATAAATTATGGTCGCCTTATAAATAAATCGGCGACCAAATAATTTAGTCGCCAACAACCAAAAATTCGTCGCCATAAATCAACATTTAGTTGCTAAAAGTACCCTTAAGCGATGACATGTCAAGTTTTAGCAACGAAACGAATTGGTTGTTGAATGTCAAAACTTTTGGTGACCAATTAGGTTTTTGGTTGCTAAAAATTCATATCCTATTTTGTGAACTGTTAGCAACGGAAACAAAGTGTCACCAAAAATAAATTCACAGCTGAAAAACTTGTCACTAAAAAATCATTATATATATATATATAAATTTTTATAATTTCTACGTTTTGTACATAATTCATAAACGTATAAAAAAAAATCCAAATCCAAACCCAAACATACATCCTTGTGCATCATTTCTACACATATATGAAATCAAAACAAATTAACACACTTGTGCAAAGCATCCAAAATATAAACTTAATTCAAAAGTAGTAGTATATTAAACAGTGCAGTCAGCCGCGCGAAAGAGAGAGAGGGAGAAGGAGAGAGGGAAGAAGAAGAAGAGACGACATACTTGTGTCGTTCAAGGTCGCGAGAGAGAGAATGAGAAGATGGAGCTTCAAGTCATGCGTGGATTAACTATTTCGGGGCAATAAAAACTAGGACTTCATTCAAAACGGTTTAATATTGACAAATAAATTATTAGAGACCAAAGTAATTAAGTCGCTATAAACATAGCGCACATTTTCCACGACTAAATTATTGTTGTCGCCAAAAAGTTACATTTGGTGACTAAAATTTTAGTTGCCATATATTAACTTGTAAAAATTTAGCTTCGCACCAAACCCAAGCTCGACCAACCATGTTAACTAGTTGCTAATCAACACATGGTGACCGATTATGTATATTTGGCGACCGATTAATATTTTGTTGCCAAAAATAGTCGCCAATTTTTTTTTTTGTTGTTGTTGTTGTTGTTGTAGTGTATGCCAAAGGTACGCACCGATGATTATTTCCCATTTTGGGGAAATATTGGAAGTGTGAAGCTCTTAAAGCTGTCCAGGAAACCTATAACGACTACACAGCAAACTGGCTACCGGACAGTCAGATAACAGGCCATGGGCCTAGGACACATTTTTCTATTTTAAAAAAAAAATATTCCAAAATTGTTTTGATACTTTCATCAGCGGGTAAATTACGCTTTACCCTTTTATGTTTGGTCATTCACTTTGCTGTTAAAATTTATATTTTTGCATTTCAATCTTTCATATTTTAAATTTTTTATAATTTATTTAAAAATTAACTTATGTTCAGAATTAAATAGAAAATGTCACAATAACAATGATATAATATAAAAAATATATTATTATAATAGAATTTGAATTTGTGTTAATTGTGTAAGTTATGTATAATAAAATATTTTTATGTCATGTCTCCTCAATGTATTATTTTTTATTTAATTTTGGACATAAATTATCTTTTGGAATAAATTGAGAAAAATTTGAAATATAAAAAGTCAAAATGAGAAAAAAAAATTTAACGGTCAGAGTGAGAAAATTGCCAAACATAAGTATAATTTACGTATCATCAAATGAACAAATTCTGAATCTATACGGCTTACTTCAATAATTCCCAATTTTTTCAAGCCTCCAGAATATTATCAACAAATTTTATATTTCTACAAAAACAAGTCTACTTGTACAGAATTTTAATACAAAAAGGGCGTGTTTGATTCGCCGGATCAGGGGGGACTATCCACTATTTGGATTGTAATCTAAATAGTGCTCTTTATTCACCGTTTGATTTTTTTTTAGTCCGTCGGACTCCATGTCCGGCCGGACTCCTTATCCCCATGTGGGGGACTATTGTGTCCTAGGAGGGTATGGGATAGTTTATGGAAGACTATCCACTGTTGGGATTAGGTGGTCAAAATGATCATTTTGACCCTCTACTATTTAATTATGTATTATATTTAATAAAATTCAATAAGATTTAAATGTCTCAATTTAAAAATAAAATAATTTTATTTAACTTTTTATTGATGTTTTATTTATTTAATTTTTTAAAATAATTTTTCATAGATATTTTATTGATGTTTTATTTTAAAATTTTGTTTGTAATTTATTTAATTTCAAAAAATAAATTCAAACTCTATTTTATAAAAATATTTTTAAATATTTTAATTTTTTGTTATATATTTGGTTACGATTTGAGTGTAGAGTTGCGAAAGTAGTATGGAGTTTCGAATTATGTATTTGGTTATGAGTTTTAAAAATAATTTCTTAATTGAGTTTTGTTTTATGTGTTTGATTACGATTTGAATGCAGAGTTGTTTTTAAATTTAAAATATTAACATTTTAAATTATTTAAAATTTTTGAATATTTAAATTATTTAAATTTTTACGATTTAAATTTTTTGAATATTTATTTTAATTTTTTACTTATTAAATTTTTTAGATTATTTAAATTATTTAAATATTTATGATTTAAATTTTTTGATATTTATTTTGAAAAAAAAAATTATTTCCTTTGTAGTATTTTCAATTAAAAAAATGATTAATGTTATTTTCTGTCAATAGTAATTTTTTTAATTAAATTTTAAAAAAGTTTGGTTATAAGTGTTGATCAGAATTTTCAATAGTGTGAAAGTAATGTGTTTTGTTATGAGTTATAATAATTTGAATTAAGTTTTGAAAATTCTTTCCAAAACTCATAATCAAACAAATTTTCCTATTTCACATGTCAAATCAAGCTTTCAAAACACAATTCCACACTCTATTCAAAAACTATAACCAAACAAATTTTCTACACTCAAATCATAATTCCACAACTCACAAACTCAAAATATAACTCATACTCTCAAATTATATTTACAAAACTCTACCAAACAACCTATTTGTCTTCCTAGTCTATGACGCAAGAACAGAAAATTTTCATCCTCATCATTA